AATATGACTGTGTGTTAAGTTTGCTATTTTGTCCAGTTTGCTATTATGTGTTAAATTTGCTACTATTTTGGTTAGTTAATATAACTACTATATATTTTAAACAGATCATGGTGATGAACATTATGGAACTTGTGGTTTTTCTGGCAAGTCTTTGCCTACCAATATGGATGGGTGAAGTTATGGACTATGTTCATAACCTGGATGATTTGTTTGAAGTATTAGCTCATGTTGAAGAAATTATGTTATGTTTAGGTTCCTCTTTTTGTTGATAACAAAGGGGGAGAAATAGTTAAGTTTTATATTTCTTATTATGATTGTAATTTTTTATTATGAATGTTAAAAACTTTGCATATATGCAGGGGGAGTAAATATTACATGTTTTTAAACATTTAATTAAACATTTAATTTGATGCAAAAATTATTTATTATCATCAAAAAGGGGAAGAATGTTGAATATCATTTCTCCATGATAATGTTTTGATGATAACAATTTATATTGTGTGTGCACTAACTTTTATATGCAGATTTCAATATCAGAATATGTACAAGTGCAAGTGGATATCAAGGCATTTTGAAGTGAAGAAAATGAAGAACAAAAGATAATGTATTTGAATTTTTCTTTACTTCAGTATAGTCGACTAATAGAGATTATAGTCGACTACTGAGGTGTTTGACAGAAACATAAGTTTCTGTATTTTTACAGTATAGTCGACTAATGAACATTATAGTCGACTACTGAACTCAAATTCCAAAAACACAGAGTCTGTCTGAACTCAGTGTAGTCGACTAATGACTACAGTAGTCGACTACAAGAGACAGCTTTTCAGTTTTCAGAATTTGAATATCTGACAGTTTTTGGCCGTTTTTAAACGTTTTTAAACTTTAAAAACTTGTCTTTTCAAGGGCTATAAAAAGGTTATTTGTTCAGAAAAATTTAACATGCATACATACCCATAAGCTTTGATCTTTGTGAAATTTTTCAAGTGAAAAACATTCTGATTTTCTGAAAAAGAAAAGTTTCTGAAATTGCCTATATACTTTCATCAAAAACAAATCAATTAGGCAATTTTGCAGAGATTAAAAGTATCCTAAGCCACTGTTGCACTTCAATACACATTCAAGGCTTATAGGATCATTGTGTTCTTGTTACAACAAGTTTTCTCTCGGTTGTGAGAGGGTTAATCTCTTGGCTTAGAGATTGGTGTTCAAATTGGCAAGGAAGTTTGTCAATTGGTGTTGCAATTTGCAGGGACTTGTAAATTGGTCAGGTTTACGTTTGATTTTGTAAGTTTATTCAAAATCATAGTGAAAACTCTCAAGCGGGATTTGCTTGGGGACTGGATGTACACCGGTTTGGTGGAACCAGTATAAAATCCTTGTGTTTGTGTTTGCAAATTTCTGAGATTGCCATTTTTCTTTGCAATTTATTATCTACTTTGCAATAATTTTAAAAGAACACTATTCACCCCCTCTCTAGTGTTCTAGTGTATCTATTTCAGATCCTACAAAATTTACACAGCTCGTATGCTCGTATAAGAAATTACATAGCTCGTATAAGAAATTTTAGCCATATTAGAACACAGAAATCCACATGGAGATGTGAGATTATTGTAAGAACTGATGCATGTGGAACTAAACAAATGGAGAGGGTTTGGTTCATTATCAAAGAATTTAAAGATCTGATCCATGGAGAGGGACTAGAAATTTACATAGCTCGTATGCTCTGAGTCGAAATAAACCGCAGAAATTAAAGAAATTAAGCACCATAAACAGCTCATTAAAGAAAATTGAAGAAATGAACAAGCCTGAGCAATATTGAAGAAATTATAAGAAATTTCAACCATATTAGAACCCACAAATCTGCCGCTCGAAAAGGAGAATAAGGTCCTTTTACCTCAAATCGGTACAGAAACGAGTACTCGAGAAATCCGACGAGGTATCGATCACCAAAAACCGATTCTTTAACAAACAACCAAATATTCAAGAACCCCCAAATCAACCACACCGTAAAAAACCCAGATTGAAGAAACCCAATGAAGCTCAAGCTCGAGCAAGCGATAATGACGAAGAGACCTGAGCACGAGATCAGGAGGAAGACTAAAAGGAGCGAAGGAGTTAGTTCGTCACTGGATTTGGGGGCAGGAACGAGAGGGAAGAAAACCCTAGATTTTTCACCCTCAATTGACTAGGAGAAATATTTTCGGCTAGGAAAATAGGTACGAGTAGATGAGAAATTATTTTTAAATTATTTGTGTCAGATTTCTAGTTGATTTCAAACCACTTTGGGAGGAATTTGATTTCTATAAAATATGATACTTTTTTATACTTTATAGAAATTTTTTCTATAATTTTTTTGAACCAAACACAATTTATAAAAATCTATAGAAAACTTTTATTTACAAAAATACCATTGTCAGCTCTTTTTAATAAAGTTTTTGTTAGGACTAAGGACGCTCACACCGCCGCGGAAGCGATATTAGTCTCAAGAGAAAAACAACCAACAAGCAAAAAAACGAATACACAGATAAAATAATAAGTAAATCAGACAAGACAACAGATTTACGTGGTTCGGCAAACTTGCCTACGTCCACGAGAGTCACACAAAATAATTTCTTATTTAACCATAAGAAATTATAAACTTGCAAAGAGAAGATCTCAAACTTGAGATCTCTCAAACAAAATATCGATCACTGTAGAATTGCTATAGTACCGCGTATGATTTATTCAACTGAATAAATCTCCGCTCAATCTCACTGAGAAATCGCCTTTAAGGCTTCTCAATAAATCACCGCAAGTCTGAGAAATAGCCGTCGCCAAAACGCTCTGGAAAAAAAACGCAGAAGTTGAGCTGCTCTCTCGTGAACAGGGTTTCCCTTTTATAGGGAAACCCTAGGGCGAGCTCCAGCTGACTCCAGCTGGCTTCCACCACAGACGAGCTCCACCCCAGCATAGGCGAGCCCATCCAGGCGAGCTCCCTCCACTCTCCTCCAGGCGAGTTACTTCTTCGACAGGCGAGCTCGAGGGCTGGACTGCAGGCGAGCTCATCGCCTCTCCACGCCCGCATGCGAGGTCCTCTCTTTACAGGCGAGCGTCCTCGCCTCCGTCAGGCAAGCTCGAAGCCATCAGGAGAGCTCGTCCTCGCCTCCGTCAGGCGAGCTCCATGCCCCCTCGCTTTAGGCGAGGTCTCCATCTTCTTCAGGTCCGTTTTCTTCAGTTTTCTATAAAAATAGTGAACCAAATTAACATCCCTAAATACATGGTGAATTATACGATATAAATAGACTATGGAGTCATTCAACGGGGATCAGTACATGCCAAATAGGTTTTTTTTTTGGTTGGGGGGGGGGGGGGAGG